AATAGAAGTCAGCCTAACTTAAAAGTTTGCTTGCTTTTGCTAGCTGCTGTGCGTAGCCTAGTTACTTAACAGTATTTTAATGATTATTATTTGCTACTACAGAAAAATCGACATAGTCTTTAAAACATTGGCTCAGTCTATTAATTTGTAACATTGTTGTTTTCCAGAGCAACATGTACACCTATTCTTCTTGGATAAGAGTAGATCCAAGTGAATTATTCTGTTGACCACAAGTTGCCGTAAATAACACCATTCATCTTAGAACCTATTCTCTGCCTTATTAACCATGCAGAATGAACAACAACTTCCAACAATATCGTAGCCTATTTTAAACTCAAGTAGTAAGCACAGTGTGAAGTATTGTAGTGAAATGTTCCATGGTTAGTTTTTTGAATAGGAGAAATAATTTTTAGGGCCTGAACTCTGTGTGGTTAGAGTCATCCAAGTTGGCAACTTTAGTTTCAAAAAGTAGTCCTAGATAAGACTTTTTCAAATATGTTTCAAAACGTTGTCGTTTCTTTCCTAACTAAACTTTTGTTATTAAGTTTTTGTTTAATAATTGATTGAGATTGCCATCAATAGTTGTAATGCACTCTTCACCTTTGTAATTGGTGTATTTTTTTCAAATCGTCAGAAAAACGTAAAATAATACAATCATATTATAAAAATTGTTATTTTTTTAAGTTTGAACATTTTAACTTTAAAAGTTGAAACATATACTCCCAAGGTATAAAAGATGAAAGGTTGATTATTTCTTCAACATTGTTTGGTTTGATGGTAAATACAACTTTAATAAAATATATAGTCATTTTATAGGCTATTATATATATAGTCAAAATATAATGGAATGTAGAAATAAAATATATTGAAAGAAATAAATCAATTTAAATTAAAAAACAAACCAATACAACATTGAAAAAATCTGTTGAAAAGATTTTCATATTAAGTAGTACTAAACCACTCTAAAGTTAAGTACTAGAACCCAATACAATATTTTACGTCTTGTAGACTTTATTAAGCCTTTTATCAATTGGAGACTATTGATATCATTTCTTTCTTTACTCTCCGATAACAAAGTCTTTTCTAGTACGCCATTCAGTCAACTCAATTGATTAAGTCTGTAGTATGGCGCCTCCTTGATATCTTTTGACCTTAACTTTTTCACCAGATCAAAATAGCGTTTAATCTTAATAATTAAAATATAAATGGTATTTATTTAAGTAATCATATTGTTCTGTATTTTGCTTTGGATTTTAATTAGGCCAATAAGTTTATTTTCTTTTAATTAATAAATCTCATCACACAGTTGTAGGTATAATATTTACATTTACCTATTTATTCTTTCTAAGTCTACTTCTTCTAGTTTTTATTAGGGTTTTGTATATTTTTATTTTACAGTAGTACATCATTTCACATTGACTGTCTAGTCTTATTTTAATCTAACTTACAAAATTGTTCAAAACCGTAAATTATAAAAGAACTTCAATCAATTTTAACTAGAGTAAGAAATCAAAATCAATTTCTGGTTTGGAAGTACAAACAATTGTATTTTAGGCCCTACTTTCTTTTATTATTCAAACTGTTATACTATCAAAGCCAAGTCAACTAAATAATTACAACATTACTGCAGTTCTAGCTCAAATTATGTTCATTGCAATATGGCTTTTACTTCTGTACGAGTTTCTAGTTAGATAACGTAGACCTTGAAAGTGTGTCACGAGTTTGAAAAGACAAACTAACGAGTCGTGTGTTACCCGTCAGTAGGTGACCTTACTGTGACTCATACTGTTTTGTTTGCATTCCTCAACAATCGGTCCTTAGATCACTAAATATTTTTAATTTGTATTTTATCTAGGGACTGGATGAGTTTATTCAAAAAAATATCGGTACATGTAATTGTTAAACAATTACAGTTTTGGGACCTCAATAACAAGTGTAGTTTTATAATACTCTTTACCCCTAAATAATCACATACTATTGTAAACCTCTATAAAAAGTCGACCTTGATTACAAGTCTTACTCTATTATCCTCATGAGAATATTGTTTTTTTTTGTTCTTCTAATGTATATTGTTATGCCACACCAACAAAACTATTTTGTCAAAAAAAGTTTTTAACATTTTGGGATGAATTCCAATGTAGGCATAAAAGCAAAGCTTAAAACAGATAATATAAATGTTAAAATATAGGCTGTGTTAGGTGTAAATATATGTTTCCAACACTCTTAACCCCCTTCTTGTGGTAATAGAAAATAATTATTCTGTTATAAACCCTGGAAAGAAATGTTGAAAATGTGTCCTAACAGTCTTTTGATTGTTGTAGTTTTAGAACAACATTTTTTGTATGGTAAACTCTGGTCTTAAATAACTGTTAGGGCCAGCGTAGCGTAAGCAGACAAGAATAAACAAGAGTTAAGGGATCATTTTGAAAATCTGTAACCTCGATTTTCTATCTGTCAGTGACTTATTAGATCCTTGTATAACTTAAGAGGTAAAATTAATGTAAATTATTTTTACATACCCTGTTGGTTTTTAAATTCTTGGTATGTTAAAAAAAACACAATATTCCCTTATTTTACACTACAACTAATAATTTTAAGTAAAATTTCCTCCCTCTTGGTTTTACATAGGCTATACACCGACATTGCTCCGATGTGGTCGCTGAACACGATATTTCTATTGTTGGTTTTATGATGAGAAGGCAAGACTACGTTTCAATAACATCTGTTAAAGTGATTGACGGCTGTGCTTTACCATTTCAAGCTCAGTTTAACTCGACTCATTCAGTTGGTTACGCTAATTTTGTTTGAATGACTCTACTGACGTGCAGCCTTTTAACATGGTTATGTACGGGTCATAATACTGTTATTCTGTTACAAAGAAATTGTTCATGTGAGATAAATATAAAACTGAAACTGTTAAACAACTGTCGATAAAATGTTTTTGGTTTATGAAAGTACAGCATCTGACTTAAAATTGTCTTTTTATATGTAGAAAAATGCTTATTTAAATTCCATTAAAAAAATTGTCTTTTATATTTTTTGCAATTTTTTGTTGAGCGAGAAAGATTTGTTCAACACTTGGCAAAAAATCAAATAGTCTGGTTAAGGTTAGTTTGGCTTACATAATCAAAACTCCTTTTATTTTCTCAGACTGTCAAGAACTGGCTTATATTTACTTCTGGCTAGATTTTTTTATATTTTCAAACCTAATCTATTTGCCTATTATAAGTCAAATTATAAAATTGGTAGCTATTGAATAATGTACCTCTTTAGATTGGTTGCAAATGGTTTCATAAATGTTAATAATATGTTTTAATAAACATTTAAAAAGCAAAGTTTTATAATCAACAAAACTCTAATTTTATTTGATTTATTTGATTTTATTTTATTAAAAGTTTTACGTGACATGTTTAAATTTGAAAAAAGCTTTTGGGTTAAATAGTGAATGAGTTAAGTTAATTTACTATTTATGGTTGTTAGTATGAGTTGAGTTAATACAATGTCTATGGACTACCCACAGCCCTAAAATAAATAAGAATGTAACAGCTTTTTGTGAAAATTTTAAAAATTGTATGCTAAACAATGATAGCTATATACACCTTATCTAAGTACTATCTCATTTGTCAATATTTTCTAACGATAATGCTCTGCCATTGTTGCCACCATAGTGCTAAAGTTGTAAAGTGTTGCAGTAACATTGGTAATTATTTGTGCATGTCTCTTAAGTGGTTTAACTTACTGCAGCATAGCTCAGGAGAGGTCATTGACTCACACGTAAATAGCTCACAGATAAATTATGATCTGCTAATGCTATTTTAAACTGGAATATGAGTGTTCTGCGTCATTAGACCTTCCTTAATTCATGTAAAATTTGTTTAAGAACTATTCAATATTTATAAAAAAAAGCTCATCTCATGTCATTGATGTATGTTTGTTTCTACTTTATAAGACCAACAACTAAATAAGTGTATCAATCTCTTTTAATTAAACTGTTAATAATTACTCTAATACGTTTCATTCCCTAACCAAGATTTCATTTCTGTTAAAAATCAAAATTGAATAAACCCATGTAGTTTCATCATAAATAGAATAAGATTAGAGCTTAAATGTTTTAAAAGTTAGTTCCCATGTTACCTTTAATCCAGTTCATGTCCCACTCTACACATAACCAGCTGTATAATCAGCTAAATCCGGAAGAAGTCGGTCAGATGTACAATCAATATTAGTCTCATGCCTGTGATCTTGGTACCATGTTTGTAATTGTAAATAATTTAATAACAACAATAACAACGTTACTAAGTATTATCAGGTACTGTAATTTACAAGTAATTTTGAACTATGTTCGATTGAGCTCTTATATTCTAGTAATCTTTGTGTTCAACAGAGTGGCAAATACACTTAAACTTTGGCTGGATAGGATTATCTTAACTTTAAGAATAAAATGGTAAAGGCACTTAAATTTGTATTGCAACGCATATAGGCCTATTACCTAAGATTTAAAAAAAAAACACACATTTTTATCTTTGTTTCACAAACTTGTGCTTGGAAATTCAATAAATTCTGGAAATAGTTAGGAACTAAGCACAGCACTGAAATTCTATAACTACGACCAACTGGAAACTACAATTTAAATTAGAAAGAGTTTTTGAATTTTAACTTCTTAATTACAATAGCAAAAACAGTAGACAATTATTACCTGTTTTATGTTTGTTCTTTAACTTATTTATTCTATAAGGATCACAAGACATATTTACAAAATAAAATGCCAGAATTCTAGAGAGACTAAGAGCAGATGCCCTTCTCGGTCATCAAAACCTTCACTATTTTAGCACAAGGCGTTTTTCTAGGTGATTTGCAGAATTGACGTTCAGCTGATGCTCTCGGTGTCTTTTCTCTAGAAAATTAACTACGGTTTTATCCTAGACAAATAATACATTAGTTAAAATGTATCGGAGTAAAATTGTATTAGAGATACTATACTTGTTCTTTTGTGTCTACAGAAAGAGATCCAAGCAATGTCGTCATGTAACCACGAAAACGTGGTGACGTACTACACCTCGTTTGTGGTGCGGGAAGAGTTGTGGTTGGTGTTACGGTTACTGGAGGGAGGCTCACTGTTGGACATCATCAAACACAAGATGAGAGCATCGAACTGCAAACACGGCGTGTTCGACGAGTCCACCATCGCGACTGTGCTGCGCGAAGTGCTTAAAGGACTCGAGTACTTCCACAGTAACGGACAAATACACAGGTCAGTTAATGGTTACTAATTGTAAAAAATATATATTTTCCATATTTTTTTAAGTTCTACATTGACATCATAGGGCATAAGGCTAGCCCAAATCGTTTTTCACATGACTTCAGACAATGTGGCAGAAAGTTATGGCAACTAGTTGTGGCCAAATAGTAGCAGTAGGCTGTGGTCAGATAACGGCTTAGAGGGATACCTGCTTAACACATTGAGTGCGAGGTGCGGGAATTCTCGTCCCGCAGTACTGGCAACACTGGCACGGGGTGAAAAATGTAATCCTCCTTGCATAACAACAACCTTGCTTTAGTGTGAGCTCAGCCTCACACGGGGAACATTTTTTCCGATTGCCGCTTATTGTGCCAGTTTTATACTTCAATCCAGTATCATTCGTTTTCTGATACGACTATTTTATCGGTGGAAGGGATTGTTCCTAATTTAGTGCAGTGTGTGTAGTGTGTGGTTTTGGCTTGGATTTAGTGAAATGGAAATTAATAATGATAATAATTTCTGCAGTGAAGCATTGTGGAAGGAACCTAACCTCAAAATTGTGTTTGACACCTTTTTGCGATATTTTTTTATGTTGTACTCAGATTTTTTGTCCCTGCTTTTTCCCTCCCTTTGGCAATACTGAGAGTGCTGCTATCTGTTGGGTTATTGTAAAACTACGTCCACAACGACTGAAACGCAGTACATGTGCTATTTGCCTTTCCTATTGGATGAAACTGAATTTAAACATTTTCGCACACTCATCTACGCAGCGTAAATTCAAGTCTGCAAGGACATGATTTTTTGTCTCTACATTTTTGAGAATATAAATTAATAGGCTAGTTTGTTATCTGTTAATTTCCTGATTACAACTATCTTATCTTATCCGAGTGAGTACAAAGGTCACACCAGCCAAAAGTGATTCCAATCACATTATACAACCAAAATAATAACCAACCTTTATAGTATCCAGGCTTAAAGTTATTCCACCCACTGACACATATCCAACCAAAATGATTACCAGCCTATTTCTAATCACTTTGGTCCATCCAGATCCAACTGAAATCAACCCTTACCACTAGCCAACCAAGTTTTATCCAGCCAGCCTAAAAAGATTCCAACCACTTTAATCTACATATTACCAAATGTTTTAGGATCTTGGTTCATTTTATTATTCATTGAGTTTTCATTGTGTGGCCTACTAGTTGTTTCTTACTTAAAACCGTTTTGTATAGGCGGATGTAAATTGAACAAAGAAGAAGAAAGTTTCATCATAGATACAGATATTTGCTGTACCTACCCTTTAGCTCTTTCAAATTTAAGTAGACTTTACGACGTAAAACTGTTCCAATGAAGGCGTGGTTGTTGGCATTAGGTATGATAATGTGTTGCCAAACCTATCTTGACTGCAGATGTTAGGTTAAACAATATAATGTCGATTGTATTGATAATTAATTAGTATATTATCGTCCATAAAATAATTATTATTCTTGCTGCATTGAATTAAAATTTAGATTCCAGTGCAGTAAATTGTTTATATTGCACCTTTCATTTACATGACATCATAAATCATAATTACAACATTGATATCTCAAATCCGTAAAATCCTGTGTCAGATTAGTACACTTATTGAACAATTGTTATGATTTTGCAACAAGGTCGTTTCAGCTTAGTTGTCACTGATACTGGTTATAAATAGCTTATGCAGGATGAGACAGTTTTATTTAAACTATCAATAAACTAATTGGGCTAATCCAGTTCAAATTCAAAGTGTTTGTAAGATTATCGAAAAGGCTACAGCAAATAGAGAATTTTTACATTATCAGCTAATGCGTAGTAAAGTGTATTAACATATAGCAACCTAAAAACATCCTATCAATGGCTGGCTGGTGTAATTTGGGGATTGATTGTTCTATTTATGTCCTGGCTTGGTGTACGTATTGGCAAAGATTAGAGCTGCATAGCATTGTCCTTGGACCCCTTCCTTGCAACTTCTTTGTTTTCATTCCATTAAATTGTTTATAAAAGATATGAGGTGTTTAATTAGAGTTAACATGTCATAAATATCAGATATTTGTTATACAACTAAAAAACATCCAATTTAAATTGTCGAGTGTATAACTAGGTTAAAACAAATCAATCAAATTTGGCAAAAGTCCATGTTATTACAATTCAATTTACAAACAGTGGGAAGTACCTTTTTAAACCGTGTTTTTTCAGCAATAATTTTATGGATTTAAAACAGATAAAATACATTTTAAAAGTCAGAATGCTTCTGCATTTAGGATTAGGCTTTAACTAATGTGTACATGTAGGCCTACATGTATTTGTATAGAATTTTAAAGAATCCAAATAAGTAAAAGTGGAAACCACATAATTATGAAATAAGAAAGACTGTCTTGGGTCATATTTGTTTTTTTATCTTTTGGACATTTATAAATGGTTTCAGTTATAATATTTTCTTCTAAAAGTACAAAATATATGGTTTTGAATAGAGATTAGTCAATATTAATCCAAATAAATTGTTAATATTAATTTTCAAAATTAGTAATTTTAATTTTTATCAAACTCTGTGACAGACAGGTGAACCCCTCATGACTTGTATACCAGACTTGACTGTGGCAGGATTGTAATCCTCAATATCCTGGCCAAGACCACCTGCCCCCTGGCCATTGATTGGACTTAAAAAATTACAGCACTACCAAAACCCTTGAGTAGTAGTTCTAAAAATGTGGTGTGTCGATCACAGGGACATCAAGGCAGGTAACATTCTACTGGGAGAGGACGGCACAGTGCAGATCGCAGACTTTGGTGTGAGTGCTTGGCTGGCCACCGGCCGCGACCTCTCTAGGCAGAAAGTGAGGCACACGTTCGTAGGAACTCCTTGCTGGATGGCTCCGGAAGTCATGGAGCAGGTAATCCTATAATTTGGTAAACCTGTTATCATTTGGAGAAGGTATCCGTTTGGCTAAGCAGATTTCATGATAAGGATATTGAAGCAACACATCGCTTGCAAATAAACTTTTTTAATGAACTACCAATAATGTCTGTGTCCTTGACCCAAAGTGTTTAAAAACCAAGCATTGCCAGCAGTGGCGGCGATAAAAACCTGCGCCCCCCCCCCTCCCCCCGGAAGTTTGTTCACCCCCTCTCAATAATCTTTAAAAACATCACAGGTATTTTCACCTAGGCTTGCACTTGGGCTTGGCATCTCCCGATGCACCGATGCGTCATCATCATCTTCTAAGATTGCTTCCAAAACCTGATTATCTTCATTGGTCACGGAAATACCATCATCATTTCTGTGAATGTGACAAAATCGTCAATACTTCCTGCAGTCATGGAAACATTATCATTATCTACTGCAATTGCAAACAAATTTAGGGCATCTCTTGCAGTTGTGTAAACAACATCACCTCCCGTGACTGCAGGCAAATCCCTATATCTCTGCAGTGACGGGAACATCATCTTTTTCTGAAATCACGGCAATGTACTAAATATCTCCTTTAGAAAAGAAACGTCATCATCGTCTACTGTGATAGCATGAAAATCTTACGTATCTTGCATGGTCACCAAAACATTACTATACTCTTCCGCAACCGCGGCAAAATTTTGAACATCTCCTGCAGTCATGGAAACATCATCATTGTCACCAGCGGGGGAATGTTCTCGTCAACATCGCAAACGCGTGGGTGTGATCCTCGCAGACGCGTTCTGCGGTTGGGATGTTATCGCGGTCGTAAAAGCTCGACTTTAGCTCGATTTTCTAACTTTGTGCAAAATCTCTCGAGCTTGTAGGCCAGACTTTGCTCATATCTAATAATATTGATAAAAGAATGGAATTATTTATTAGCACCTGTCCCTAGCCTCCTAGGTTTATTCGCCGATTTGATCGTTAAAAACGTGGTCTAGTACATTTAGTTGAATCAGCCTAGAGGGGGCCTATCTGGTGTGACCTGCCAGCCAAATTGATTATAAATATAGCGCCTTCACGCAGGCCACGAGGACATTTGATGCAAAGATTCAAAAGCACCCGCATAACTGCAGACAATTTTTTGACTTGGTTAGTAGAGAATTTCTATCTACAGGTTAAGTAGTGTCAGTTAAGCTGTTGTAACTAGGCTACTAATCCTAGCGCTCTCTCTGGTTTCAAAATATTTTTGTCATAAAATGGTAATACTCATATAAATAATTTTATAATAGGGCCAATATGGTAGGGCCCATCACGGGTTTGGTTCCCAGGAAAATCTTCTAAAAAATCCTGGTCAAAGCTCGCCGCCACTGTTTGTCACCTATTAGGTGATGGGAGGCTTAATATGTATCTTACAAAGCATTTCTTAGTTTGGAACCTCTTTGCAGGATCACGGGTATGATTTTAAAGCCGACATCTGGTCTTTTGGCATCACCGCCATAGAGATGGCTACAGGTACGGCACCCTACCACAAGTACCCTCCCATGAAGGTACTGATGCTGACATTGCAGAACGACCCTCCTACACTGGACACTGGGGCGGAGGAGAGGGATCAGTACAAGGCGTATGGCAAGACCTTCCGCAAGATGGTCATAGACTGTCTGCAGAAGGACCCCACCAAGAGGTGAGTACGACAGCAAAACAAGACGGGATGGGAAACAATTTTGTCCCTAGATTTTCAAGACATGATAGGACGGGTCAATAAGGCATAGGAGTAAAATAAGATTAGACTATAATTTGCAAATAAAAATTAATAAGTGTACTTTTAAGGTAGTTTTAGTAAAAACTAGTTGAGATGATTTTAGTAAGTTGAAAGTCACACCTTTTAATTTTCTATACTTAACCCATGGGTCTAAATATTTTTAGAATAGAGCCTCAATTGAATCATGTTAGATGGATCAAGATATCTCATGATGGTGACATCAATAATCAACATCTTCCTCAATCACAGCCTTAAGCTAAAAATAGTAACTTATTATATTCAATTTTAACTAATTGTACCTTTATATACTACTTTTTTGTTGGGAAAATAAAACACATTTGTCCTACATTAAAATTAAAAATATACAAATTGATGATAACCTGTAAACAAAGACAAAGTATCTCAATTGTGAGTGGGTAGCTTTTTCTTGAACTGAATACTTTTATCTAATTTCACAAAAGGCTATTTTAGTTAGTTCTAAATTTGGCACCACCTAGTTTCCTTTGAGATTTACTACATGAATATCTAGACACAATGTGATGGTTTGTCGGTAACTTAAAAAGAATTATCCTTGTTGACAACAATGTTGAGCTGTTATTGGTTGTAGGCCGACTGCCACCGAACTACTGAAACATCCGTTCTTCAAAAAGGCAAAGGATCGCAAGTACCTACAACAGACTTTGGTGGCAATTGGACCAAGCCTTGAAACCAGAGTGCAGAAGGTAAATTATAGTTTTGTTCATTATGAGTAGCACATGAAGCAGTATACTTTATGTAGGTCCTTACGAGTATAAAATGCAATTTTCAATTCATTACAGTACAGCTTCAATAACAAGTCCCTCATGAAGATGATGAAATAAGGCTTGTTATTAAGGTAGACCTTTTTTACGTATGCAATAACAACGTTCATACACAAGCAAGAGGGTATTGAAGAATGACGTTTGTTGTTAAGTTTTTTTGCTGCTGAGGATCTTGTTATTGGGGTTTCACTGTTTATCTGCAACCAACATTTGACTTGAATTTTTAGGCATTGCAAAGTATACCAGTAATATTGTAACCATACTGCATCTGATCGAGTTAGGTAAACTGATTGACAAGGCTGTATGGGAAGGATAGTAGGAGATGTAGATGGGCTGTAGATTGTACATAATTAATAGTCTGAAGAATTCTTCTTCATTTTCTGACAGTCTTTCACTTATCGGTTCTAAAGTTTAGTTCTATTAGGGTAAACTTTACTTAAGTGGTTAATAAACGTGTCTGCCCAATTTGTTAATGTACGCCTTAGTAATAAAATGTAAAATAAATCAATGAGTCCAAATTACTTCAGAGGGTACAATAAAGACTGTTTTTAGAAGCAGGCAGCAGTGACGCGTGAAATGATGATAGAGTACATGTATTACATGCAGCAGATGCAATACTTGGGCCTCTATAGACACAAGCAGGGAGGGCAAAAATCTCTTGCTAGGATCCCCAGTTTTAAACCCCCATCTCATTTGAGAGCTCGTCCCAAGGTAAGCGTTTGCTCGTCTGGGAAAGTGCAACCTCGGGAAAAATGTTCTAGGTCTATGTCGGAAATCATGCATGACGGGGTGTTCCTAAATCGGGGTTTAGTTATGTCAGAAATCAAAACTATTCTTAGAATCAAACAACTGCTTAAAGATATTTATGTTTTTAGTAGGTGTCACTAGATTTAATTATACAATTTTAAAGTTTGATTACACTTTTTTTGTAACATTATGAAGCCAATCTTGTAATACAATTTATAGAGGTCAATCCTGAATATTTGAGTCTTCATCATGCCTAGGTTTAAGCAATATAGTACCGTTGAACACAGTTAAGTTGTGAATAATACTGAATATATTTCCCCCTGCTAGCCGCTCTGTTACCCAACCACCTGTTTAAGTTGTGAAAAATTACCCTATCTCATCTTAAGGTCTGGGTTGGACAAAAAACATGATCAACGCTTTATCTCTGTCTGAAACCCACCCAAATTGCTCCGACGCTTAATTGTTTGGGAAAAATTGTGTCCAAGTGGATTTTTTAAAAATATTTTGAGCACCCTGTAAAATAAAAACACACAATCTTTTAGGATTTGCAAACATGTGATTTATATTTTTATTCTCTTAAGGCCGGTCCACACGCAAGGATTTCACTTACGTTTTATCCGCGCAGGTAAAACGTTGCAGTCAAGTCGTCGCAAATAAATGCGTCCACAGAGTACAAGTTGTCGTTTTTTGACAACTTTCAGTGTATTTGTACGTAATATCATGGAAGATGTGTTACCGTGGTCAAAATTTGCATTCTGTGTTGTAAGAAAGCAAAGAAATTAGTCTGAGCGAAGACGATGCTCAATATGGTCAAGACGTTATTTACTTAAAAGGCAAACATTTCTATAATAGTTTCTCTGTTCACGTTTGAATCTACTGTTTGGTTTTCAACAAGACTCTAAGCCTGACCCTTCTTATCACGGTCACTATGTACCTTGACCTTCCATCAACAAGGAAAACCTCTGTACAGTTCGATGAATTCGACAATAAACTCACAGGGACATTGGTGAAGATCAACAACACTGGAGTTCAAGCGTGAAGACGGAGTTGAAACGGATGACAGTGTACACACGCAACGACTTGTCTGAAAACGTTGTCAAAACTATGCTCTCCTCAATAGTTTTATCCCTCCATCTTCCGTCTCCGCACAGTTAAAAAAAATGCACATTTTTACTGTCCACGCACAACGACTTGACTGTAACGGCAGGTAAAACATACGAGAAATCATTGCGTGTGGACCGGCCTTTAAATTTATACATGTCCCCAAACATATGTATGTAATAAGTACAATATACCTGCATGACTGGGTTGGAAAAAAACATTACATTTCATTCAGTAGTGTTCATTTAAATATAAAGCTCTGCAAAATTTGGTTGCATGCTTTGTAAAATGTTTTGTTTTTATCCATCAATTTTATTTCAAGGTATATTCCTTTCAAAGGTCCATACCTTCATTGTAAGCATGATATCTCTAAATATTCTTTTATAAATTCTTACCTTCATACTGAATTAAGCAGCCCATTTTCTTCTTCTAAGTTCATCCATTTCCAAAGTAATATTTTTTGTATTTAAAGTCTCATTTGCGACTTTTCATTCTATTTCCATTTAATTACTGGACTTCTTATTCTATTTCATTAAGAGTTGACATTTGTCTATAGACAAACCAAATAAAATGTCTAAACATATTCTGAAGAAGGGAAAACGGCTTTGTGAATTAAATTAACACAAGCAATGCAAAAATTGCAATTTTTATAGGGTTGATTCCGAGGCAAAATAAATAAAAATGAAGCATTACTTTTCAAAGATTTAAGACAGTTATTAGGTAAACAGAACTACTAATATCTTTTAGGGGCGAAACCCTAAAAGCCTCACCTTAGTTTCCATTCGTTACTCCGCTAGATCATCATACGCTTTGTAATAACACCTCAATTGTAAAAATAGTTGAGTCGGACGGTTGAAGAAGGGATGACACGAAGGAAGGGAATAAGAAGGGAATAACACGAAGAAACCCTTCTTGTATTAAGTTTATAGACTTTGCATTTGCGGCTCTGTATATGTAATACAAATGAATGCTTACCTGTACCTCTCGAAGTTCTAAAACTTTGATATGGTATTATTGTCTTTGTCTTTATATCTTGTTAATTTTAGTGGCATTATCTATTAGGCTTATTTTTCTAGAATTCTTATCTATATATTAATCACGTACCGGTAAGCCGATTCTTTGTATCAAAATTGTGGGTGACTGGTATATCGTAGAACGACGGGAGAGGGCTCAAATTAAAGGTCTCTATCCCATGACAGCGGGAAAAATACTGGAATTCCCAAATTTCAACCGAAATTGAGATATAACGTAAAATTTTCTCCATAAGGATAGCATTGGAAGCCATACACAGCTGATTTTTTTTATTGCGGTTGATTGCGCTATATTTCCAAGCCAGTATTAAATACGTGTAGTTGGTTTGCTTCTTAGCCAGTTAACTCTGCAATGCACTGTATACTATAATAAAACAACCAGGGATAACGCTATCTATATTTGAGACTTTTTGAAAGCCGAAAACCAAACCAAAGATTTTCGAGTCAACTGTCAATATTGGCTTCCACAACTGGGAAATGGAACCCTAAAACCATAAAATATTACTCAATGAGGCTAATAAAACTGTTCATTTTGTATAGTAAGTTTCATCACGATCGGTCAACGCATAAAGGACAAACATTGGATTTAATATGTATAGATAACAACAACCAAAGTAAACAGAGAGACCTTTTTAGACAAAGATTTGGTGTACAGATGTATCTTGACAAATAAATAAATCTTAGTTTGTTTGGCTATTCAAATAAGTTGCTTTACATTTTGAGGTTTTTTACTACATGTCACTAGTATATTATAATGTCTAATCGTTTGTTATTATGTTTTTCTTCACCATAAGAGACAATTGTAAATAAATACAATGATGTATTTCTTTTTAAAATAACTATTTCTCAAATTATTATATTTATTTGAAAATTTTGAATCTTGCTAATTTTTATGTTTTATGTATTGATAAAACAACGTGTATTTCCACTTTTTTATGTAAATTTACCATCCGTCCAATATGTAAATTGAAGAATTAAAAAATGAAATACTTAGATCAAATAAATAAACATAAAATCTTAGATCTCTCATTGTCCTACTGGTCTCTAGCTATATTTCACTTCATTCATCCTAAAAGATCTTGGTAATCTCAATTACAGATCACTCCAGACAGGTTTGTCAATTCATCGTCAAGTTCTGATTCAGTCACACAGACGTTACCTTTGTCTTGGCAGTTTTAAGGAAAAGCAGACCAAACCTCCACATTTTATTACATCTCAGGTACTTGAAGTTGGTACACCAAGAAGTCAGGTTGTGATCATCTGCTTTCTGAATTTATGCCGAGGTTGCTTCGTGGTAGGAAGAGTGTTATAACCATTTCCAATCAAATCACTGTGCATCAGTTGTCAAATGCTCTTCGTGATGTCAATTCTAAGTGTTTCTTCTTGTTCTTAGATTTTTCTGTTCTTTCGCTTCTGCAAAAGCCTGTCAACAGTTGATTTTCTATCGATTGTCTCGTCTCAACTTAAGGCAGTTAAGGCTCCTTATTTCGGCTTGTGCGTCATTATCCTTTATTTACTTTTACTTGTCTTTTTCACTTCTGGGGAATTAAATGCTTTGTATTTGTTTCACTTCTATCTCTTAAATGCTGCACTAGCCATTGGGACGCTCTTCCTAAGACTTCATGAGGAGGGGAGTGAGAACAATAACAAGTCAACTCATAAAACTAACAACGACCACACATGGGAAGGGCGGAAAACACAATGAGCGAAAGCCAAGTAGAGATTTCAATAATTGATTTATTATTTTTGAAAAGAGTTGATTTGAGATGAGTTACTATTGCTACAAAACACTTAACAACACATTAAACTATTTTGAACAAAAACATCGTTTACCCTGTGGACAACCGCCAGGGAGGGAAAGATAGTGCAAAACTAAAACTCACAGACTCTTCTAACATGACTGACTACCAAGTCTCTCGGTTCGGCAGTCCTAGTCACAGGAAATGCTCCTCTTTTCAGCATAACTAATAGACCACACATTCCATGCCACAACCAAACCATCGAACGTGATGTAGCAATCGATGTATCCAATTTCCAATACTTTGAGTGTCAACCAAAACCGTAATAAAGTTGCAACACGTTTCCATTGCCTAATTGTCGATAGTAAATGCAATGGGAAAAATTTACCAAAAACTTTCTTTTGGACCAATATTCATTATATTCTTTAATAAACACCAGATCGTCATTAATTGTGTTACTGAAGTTTTTGTATGGGAACCCCCTTCCTATGGAGGGATCAGTCTGTTCCATGACCTTACACTAGATTTTGATGTTTGATTCAAAAGCGTAGAATTTTTACGGGTTGTTTTGGTTTCTAAGTAGTAAGTAGGTACCCTTAAGAGGATAAAGGTCTCACTATACAGACCATAGTAATAGCTACTTCTCTGGATACGAGCTGATCCAGTGGTAGAGTATGGGGCTTTGCTCCCCGAGGTATCGGGTTCAAATATTTCCAATCATCAATGGCTTAGCTATGTTATAATGCCGCAAGGGCAAGCCTGTAGACCTAGCTTGAAGTAGTGTGTAAATTGGTTTTGGGCAGAGCCTAGCTTTCTAGGATCTGAAGGAAGGGCATAAAAAATAGTCACTTCCCTATTTTACATTAATCTTAATAGCCTTAATAACAAGAATTAGTTGAATAATTTGTTAACAAATTATTGAATATAATATAATCAGTTTAATAAACCACTTGCAACAGGCTGCAACTATGTGATACAATTAGTCTATTTTTAGAGATTACAGCGTAAAGAATAACTTTATTTAGTGAATACTGTTCATGGTTTCATGTTACAAAAAAAATAAGCTAGTACAGTAGTGTGACGTGACTTGGAGCTGTTAAATTCCTGTTTCATGTCTGATTCAATTTGCTGATTAGCTGTATAGGTAGTTGAAGTTTTTTCTGCCTCTGGAAACTGATGCAGCTTTTATCTTATATTCTTTAATCCAAGTTAGCGACTGTATCAAGCAAAATCTCAATCAACATCAACTATCAAACAGTTCATCTGCAGATTAAAATGTTTTGAATTTCTCTAAACGTTATCACAGTTGTGTATCAAATTCTTACTGTTTTGACGTACAAATCTTGCCACTATGGATCATTGGGTAGGCCTAATTGTAATATGTATTCATTTTAAAATATAAATTTATTAGTATTAATGCAAATTTGCATATTCACAAATTTAAAATAATATTTAGAACTTGATTTATTTGAACTTTTTTACAAGTTAGTAAATTGTGTACGTTGCATATTTATAGGAAAGTGTAATTTACAAAATCCAAATTTAGACCAATCTTAGTGCTATATCTGCACACCTTAGTACAATTATATAAGTAGCCTATATTAACTTTTGTATGAAAGCATAAACTCCTATCTTCATGTAACAGGAAAAAATATAGGCTAATATTTCAACTATATAATAATTTTTTTTAATACCTGACAGGATATTTAGATTCATGGTATGATTTTTTTATTAAATATTTGCATGAATTGACCAAGCCATTAACAATAATAAACCTCTCCTATAATGGTTTAAGGTTTGATAAAAATAATTGCTGTTATTTGAACAATGTGTTTGTAGTTGAGTTTTTTTTTAATTATTGCATCTGAAGTATCTCAGGGCATCTTAAGTATACATCTATTTTTTTACATGATATACCCTACACACATTTTTCATTTCAACTTCTTACCTATTTAGCTATTTAAACCTTTTTGGACAAAATGACAATGCCTATTACCACTCTGTTCTTCTGCTGCTTGAAGTGTAGTGTCAAATATATCAATGAAATTTGTCCTCATGTTGTGGCAACAGTTGGCTCAACTTTCATCTACAAATCAAATCTTTCATAATTTGTGATATTTTGCAAATCTTTAATAATTTATTTTTCTCTAATTGTTTGGCTGAAGTGGTATAACATTACGACTATGGTAGATGTGTAATACTATAGTATACTGTAAATTTAAAGAAGGAAATTTTATCAAACTGTGTCCTCCCCCATTGTAAACGCAAAGCTTGAGTATAAATGAAATAAGCATTTTATACTTATATGCCAATCTCGTTCGAAGGACGGGTACTCTGCTAGTGTTTCCATATGTAAAAAGGTAGGCCTATTGACCCACTAGTAATCCACCCAGTTGCATGTGAGGCTAAAAAAACATTCAGTAATGTCTATGTACTTTTGTGTTTTCAAATTAGAAATAATTAGTTAAGCCTTTACTATTTTGTTTAAAAATCATGGGAAATGGTTCTGTTACATCCAATCATTTAAAGGCGTATGTTTTACGTTTTGTCAGTCAAAAAGTGTTGTTCTGATGTGCAAAATATTCCTATTTTCACTCACCTGATAGCTCTTATAAAACATTGTAAACGGTTTATTGCTTTGTACTTTGTAAGTGATCCCCATACATTTTTGTCCAAACTTAAATAAAGTGTTGAATGTAAGGTTTTTAAATTAGCTTCTTTCATTAAATTAAATTAGATATAGTTTCTGTTTTTTTTGTGCATTTTGGAAAGACACGAGTTGAACTGCTTGGTAGTTGTATTGATGATGTTGTGCAGGCCACCAAGAGACAGCCAGGAGCCTCGGGAAGACTCCACCGCACAGTGACTGGAGAGTGGGTGTGGAGCTCTGAGGAGGAGGGCGACCGTTCATCTGACGAGGAGGTTGGCCATAGAGTAATCAAAATGTTTCAGAGATTTACTAAACTCTGTTTAAACTACCTAATTGTTCAGATAAGCTGAAAATGCAGTAATATTACACAAAAATAAGAACAATGTATTTTATAACTTTAAATGGCTAAGTATTATTTCTGTGTAGTATCATCAAGTCATCAAAATACATGTACAACTAGGTGAATCCCGTCGAAATCGACGGATACTTAGGTTTTACGTAAATTCAGCTAACTGCGATGGATAGAGTGAAGTTATTAAAATCTTAGGGAGGATAAACATAATTATGAGTAAGACGATAGTGTACCTTAAAAAACGTGGTTGATGAATTCGTTGAATTCAATATTTTCTGCCCTTTCATCGGCTTTAGGCTTCAAAAGGCTTTTCAGGAGTCTTACTTACAATTTTAATAGTTTCTTGTTCATGAATTTTGTTCATTTTATAGGGAAAGAAGTTCATATAATTGGTCTGTCATATGACGAAAAGAGTCAATATTTCTAAAATAACTGGTTCTATCTGCTTTGGGAAAATCATTCAGATCGTATTTGGATTGTATAAGTGAATCACCATCTTTGGTCATAAAAATACAGAATTTTTTCAGAGGGAGGCATATTTAAATCTCTTTTCTTTTTTGTATTTGATAAAAATATCTGATTCTCCAGAAAGCAGTAACATTCTTACTTCGATCCAAGCAATTTTAATTCCTTCTCTCGCCACATCGACCCATGTATTTAATCATCCTGTACTTACTTGCTAATTGATTAACTTATGGGATAGTTTTGCAATGGCCATATCGATCCCATAAAGCTGTGCATGTATTTTGAGGATGTAATGAAACATAATTGTAGGAAATTTGACCACAAATCTTGAAAATTTGCGGAGCCAAATCCATAACCTAGTCCAGCCTTGGTAACAAATTATGCAAATGCGATGAGATGTGATGGCACTGTTGTGTTTCTGAATGTTTTGTATGTAGTGAGGTTTAGATGCGTTGTTCAACCTAGCTAGATGTGTACATCAAAGTAAAAACCCTGTACACATTTTTTTAAATAGGCTACCTGAATTGACATTAATTTACCTACTTCACCAAAACCATAGATGAAACATACTCCGTAGTTGGTCTATTCCAAAACTTGAACACAGCTCTTATTCTCCTCATCTATAACACAATTTTCAACCCGGTTATCGAGAACTTTTATACCAATAAATGAATTTCTGGTCTTCTTTCTTGAATTTAATAATATTCTTGAACCTTACAATATGTATAAGCTAACCCGATAAGGAATAATTATATGTTCCTTTGAAACTAATATGTCACACTGATTTCATAATTTCAAATTTTTTAAGAGCAATAAAGCACAGATTTTTTAACAACACATTTAAAACGTATCATAAATTCATAATTTTGTTGAAACTATAAAAAGCTTGCCATGCAGTGAAGAATCAATTTAAAATCATAAATAATAATGTGTAAACATTTCATTTTGACAGTTTCAGTAGACCTTTGAATACAATTTTAATATTAACAGCTGGTTCATTAAAAGTAGTGTAAAATTATCCATATGGTGGTAATGTAAACAAAACTGCTGAGTGAACTTTAGAGGCCTCTGGGGCAGAGCCCCAAGGAAATTTACCTCGTTTCTCTTTTGAGGGCTCACCTACAGACCAATACCTTTCTTTAGACACCCCTACCAAGTTTCTACACTCAGCCGTTCTCTCAAATTAGCTGTGAAAAAACCCCGTTTTTCCTCCATAAGAATAACATGGGATGGGAATATAAAGGCCACTGGGGCAGAGCCCCGAGGGAATTTACCACGTTTCTCTTTTGATGGCTCATCTACAGACCAAGGCCTTTCTTTAGACACCCCTACCGAGTTTCTACGCCCAGCCGTTCTCTCAAATTAGCTGTCTCAAAGAAAAACAGTTTCAAATTAATATATAGACTAGTAGAACCCCGTCAAAATCGACGGTTAATCTTGAGGTTTTATGTAAATTCAGCTAACTGCGATAGATAGAGTGAAGTCATTAAAATCTTAGTTAAATGAAGGGAGGATAAGCATGATAATAAGTATGACGATTGTGTTCCTTAAAAAACGTGATTGATGAATTCGTTTAACACAATATTTCCTACCTTTTTATCGGCTTTAGGTTGCCCAAAAGGTTTTTTAGGAGTCTTATAATTGTTAGTTCATGAGTTTGTTTCATGTCAAAGCCACTTTCACTATATGGGAGAATGAGTTCATATAATTAGTCTATCATGTTACGGAAAGAGTCAATATTTATTACTAACAACTAATTTAATTTGCTTTAGGAAAATCATTCAGATTGTATCCGGATTTATAAATAAATCTTCATCTTTGGTCATAAAAATACAAAATTTTATCAGCATATTAAATCAGTTTTTTTGTATTTGATAAAAATATCTGATTCTCTAGAAAGCAGTAAGATTCTTATTTCGATCCAAGCAATTTTAATTCCCTCTTTTGCCACATCGACCCATGTATTTAATCATCCTGTTCTTACTTGATAATTCATTAACTTATGGGATAGTTTCGCCTTGGCCAGATCGATAACATAAAGCTGTGCATGTATTTCGTGGATGGAATGAACCATAATTGTTGGGCATTTGATCACAAATCTTGAACATTTGCGGAACCAAATCCATAACCTAGTCCAGCCTTGGTAACAAATTATGCAAATGCGATGAGATGTGATGACACTGTTGTGTTTCCGAATGCTTTGTATGTAGTGAGGTTTAGATGCGTTGTTTGACCTAGCTACATGTGTACAGCAAAGTAAAAACCCTGTACGCATTTTTTTAAATACCTGAATTGTCATTAGTTCACCTACTTCACCAAAACTATAGATGAAACATACTCCGTAGTTAGTCTATTCCAAAACTTGAACACAGCTCTCATCCTCAACGTACCCATCGATGACACAATTTTTAACCCGATTGTCGAAAACTTGTATACCAATAAATGAATTCCTGGTGTTCTTTCTTGAATTCAAAAATAAATGGTAATTGAGAGTAGGCAAAAAAAGGCAAGTGCAAGCCTTACAATATATATAAGCTAACCCGATAAGGAATAATTATGTTCCTTTGAAATTAATATGTCACTCTTATTTCATAATTTAAAATTTTCTAAGAGCAATAAAGCATATATTTTTGATCAAAACATTTAAAACGTATCATAAATTCGTCATTTTGTTGAAATTATAACAAACTTGCCATGTAGTCCAAGCATATGGGGAAAAAAGATGATGTTTTCAGGAAAAAATTCCCGAAGTTTTTTTCTCAGTGGTTTCTTATGTATTTTTTGACGCTGAATCCGATTTTAAACTTTGCCACCTCGCCAGAGGTGAGCTAACTTCAGAAATCGCAAAAAACTAATAAAATACTGTACTTTGTTTTACTTTTTTGCATATAACTCACAAACGGAGTATTTTTTTGCAATAACTGTCATTTACTAAATTAAAGTACACTAAATTCCCTACAATATACGTATATTAACATTATTTCTACGATGTTCCAAACTGACGCTAGAGGACGATCAAAATTCATCATTTTCTTTTACCTATTGGAAAACGTAGGAAACACCATTATAAATCCTTGGATTAGTCACCCAACGAGCTCTATTTCATGAATTTTGATTATTTTATAATTATATGGTAGCATTAGGTCACATTTAGTGGTACAAAAATGTAAGTGAAGTTTATTCGGTGTATTAAGTCGGTAACCACAGCATAAAAAAATAAGAAAACAATTTTCAATTTAAATACATTTGAAAATTATTATTATAAATAAATCATAGGGTCGACTAAAAATATAGTTTAATGTGCTGGGGCTGCAGTATGGATACCATTTTCTCCATATATGTACATTATATAGATAGTATAATTATGAATAGACACACTATACAGAAAATATACAGGGGGTGTTGACTGAAATGCTGTAGATGAGCTTCTATTTATTAAATTAACATGTACAACCATAGCTTTTATTTTCCTATTTTCACCTCACTTGCCGTCTTTATTTTATTTACTGTCTTTAGTGCCTTTACTTTACCTTGTTGGAATAGAGCGGACGTCGAGTCATAAGACAGTTATAAGACTAACAACCTCTATACCTATCATTGCCGGTTTTCTAATCCCAATTCAACAACAAACGAAATTACCGAGGCAGGGGAGAGACTCTTGGTGGACAACATCCCAGGTCCTTCTACAGAACATCCATCTCAAAGCTCAGCCCACATCCGAGGACCCCTAGCCAGTCAAGAAAATAAAGATGACAAGTGAGGAGAAAATAGGAAAATAAAAGTTATAGTTGTACATGTTAATTTAATAAATAGAAGCTCGTCTATAGCATTTCAGTCAACATCTCTGTCTATTTTCTGTATATAGTGTCTACATTTTATAAAGATACTATCTATATAATGTACATATAACGGGAAAATGGTATCCATACTGCAGCCCCAGCATAGTAAACTATAGTTAGAATTGACACATTGATTTATAATAATAATTTTCAAAGGTATCTTATATAAAAAAACCATGGTTTATCTATAAAAAAAACATGGTTTTTCTTTTCTGACTACGTTTGGCTCTTCTACCTGACCGATTAACATGATTTAGGTCTCAAATTGAAGGTATGTACGCACAGATTTGCCATCAAGCATCGGCATGTATTTATCTATAATCCCACTCAGGTTATACGTAAACGAAATTTGCTCTCCATGTATTTCTTATGGGAGATAAATTTGGTTTCTCTTTGCCGAGTTCGTTTGGCTCTACTGCCCGACCGATTTTCATGATTAGGGTCTCAAATTGAAGGTATGCAAGCACAGATTAGCCATCAAGCACCGGCATATATTTATCTATAATCCCACTCGGCTTATATGTAAAAGAAATTTGCTCTCCATGTATTTCTTATGGGAGATAAATTTGGTTTCTCTTTTCCGAGTTCGTTTGGCTCTTCTACCTGACTGATTTTAATGATTTAGGTCACAAATTGATGCCATACACGCAAATAATTCACATCATGCATCGGCATATATTTACCTACTGTTTTACTCCACTAAAAACATAATTTGATTATTTTCGTATTCTTACATCAATTTAAGATGTATTTCACCTTTTGTAATTATATAATCGTACTGTATATATTTTGGTCTAAGAACTTTCTTTTATATAAGTAATTGGGATACTGTATTGTTCAATCAAAAATTATAAATTTGATTATTTCTCGGATATTATATTTATTTTAACGCTGCGGAGCAGCATGGGTCCTCTAGTTTAAATTGAAAATTGTTTCGTTATTTATTTATTGCTATGCTATGGTTACCGACTATAAACATCACTTACATTTTTTTACCACTAAATGGTACCATATAATTATAAAATAATCAATATTCATCAGTCCGTTGAGTGTCTAATCCAAGGATTTATAATGGTGTTTTCTACGTTTTCCATTAGTAAAAGAAAATAATGAATTTTGAGCGCGCTCTAGCGTCAGTTTGGAACATCGTAGAAATAAAGTTATTATACGTATATTGTAGGGAATTTAGTGTACTTTAATTTAGTAAATGACAGTTATTGCAAAAAAATACTCCGTTTGTGAGTTATATGCAAAAAAGTAAAACAAAGTACAGTATTTTATTAGTTTTTTGCGATTTCTGAAGTTAGCTCACCTCTGGCGAGGTGGCAAAGTTTAAAATCGGATTCAGCGTCAAAAAATACATAAGAAACCACTGAGAAAAAATCTTCGGGAATTTTTTCCCGGGAAATTCCTTTATGATTGGACTAATGCAGTGGAGAATAAATTTTAAATCATAAATAATAATGTAAACATTTAATTTTGACAGTTTCAGTAGACCTTTGAATACAATTTTAATATTAAAAGCTGGTTCATTAAAAGTAGTGTAAAATTATCCATATGGTCGTAATGTAAAAAAAATTTCTGAGTGAACTTTAAAGGCCTCTGGGGCAGAGTCCCAAGGAAATTTACCTCGTTTCCCTTTTGAGGGCTCACCTACAGACCAATACCTTTCTTTAGACACCCCTACCAAGTTTCTACGGCCAGCCGTTCTCTCAAATTAGCTGGGACAAAAACCCAGTTTTTCCTCCATAAGAATAACATGAGATGGGAATTCAAAGGCCACTGGGGCAGAGCCCCAAGGGAATTTACCACGTTTCTCTTTTGATGGCTCATCTACAGACCAAGACCTTTCTTTAGACACCTCTACCGAGTTTCTACGCCTAGCCGTTCTCTCAATTTAGCTATGACAAAGAAAAACAGTTTCAAATTAATATATAGATTCCTAATATTTTCAGTTAAGGCGAATTTTCCTAGTTAACCAATTCAGCTGCACATTTTGGCACAAAAACTTTACACAAGACTTGGGAACAGCGGTTTACCTAGCTACCAAATCTGGCACTACCCTGAAAACACTGCCACAAAAACAATCGCACAACATCCACGATTCCTTAGCCTTATTTAGCAGCTAGGACACTCATTTACATCCCCACACACATGACACCCATCAGCATTCGTGAACACCCTGTTTGGTATTTCAGAACACAACAATGTGTTGTTAATTTTTAATTAGTAAACTTTTCTCCTCAACATGTAGTTTGAATTAGGTGGACTCTGGCATATAAATAAAGAGTATTACCTTTTACCAACATCAATCCTTGCACATTTTGCACTTGTTTCCAATGCACTATAAACACTTTTGTCACTCCTGAGTTTTGAAAATACAATGCCTTTTTAAAACTAATGTCTTCGTCTTCTCTGTAAGACTTGTCACTGTGATAAATCAAATATCCACTCATACATATTCAGTACTACATACGAGGGGCGTTTTTTTAATGTAAGGGCCGTTTGTGCATATAGCTCAGTAGTTCTGTTTACTGGCATTAACTTATTATCAGAATCACACCAATCGCAGCTCTGTAGCTGACATTATGCTTTGCTGTGTGACAAGAAAATATTTTTAACTATTGAATCTTCCACTGCATGCAAGTTAAGGTCAGTGGTACGTTTTTGTACTGCAAAAAAACATATCCGATGCAGAAATTCATCGCCATATGACTGAAGTTTATGGCCCTAAATATGGTATCTAATATTTACCCGTGAACCCAAGCAATAATTCAACGGAATTACAGCACTCAACTCCCTCGTCAATTTCAAAGCCAAAGCCCTTTGGGACCAGCCTGAGCGTTCTTCATCATAGACATTTTCACAGCAATTTAAAATTTTTTAAATCTATTTCCACACTTAACCTTGACTTGTTGCAATTAGGATCATTTCATTAATTCATCTGGTGATGAATGTCTGCATTGGGAGATGTAAAATGCAATTGTGCACGCCCTCAGTTCTAAAGGGTAGTGTGGGGCTCACACCAACCATCCAACCAGGTATCCTCCCATTAAAAGCATCCCCCCCTCTCCCCCCCACTCAGTAGTGGGAGGGTGATCAGTGTTTAGTGGTAATCCACCGCATCTGCTGGAATGATATCTGTACTGTAACAACATGATTTAGTGAGGACTCCAACAACTCTAACAAGAGAGTGAGTGACTCAATTTAGAAATTGTTTATTTAAACACTATAGTCCGTCCGTTTGGCTATGATACCCAGCAGATTAGGAACCTTCTCGGAACTCGACTCACCCTTCAGACCCGCTCGCCAGGCTGGCTTTTGTTAAAAAGTTGACCTATACCTACTGTCACAGTTCCACATATCTGTAACTTTTTTTATTTTAAGTTCAAATTTAAAATAAATTGTTCTCTGTACATTTGAGTTCTACATGAAATTCCAAAAATAATGAGTCCAAACACGATGTGGATACTTAATATCTACAATCTGAAAGTAGTACAATTACTCCGTATCGTCACCAGCTTTGTCCGACTTACAGGTCGTAGATATTAAGAATCCACAGCGTGTTTGGACTCATTATTTTTGGTATTTCATGTAGAACTCAAATTTATAAAGAAAAATTTATTTTAACTTAAAACAAAAAAGTTACAGATCTGTGGGACTGTGACAGTGGGTGAGTCACTGTTTGTCCGGTAAGCCCGACGAACGGGTTGAGAGGGTGAGTTGATTTCTGAGAAGGTCCCTAATCCGCTGGGTATCATAGCCAAACGTACGGACAATAGGTTATTTAACTAAGATTTATTTTTACTATAAATAATTTACTACAATGTTCTCATGTGGTAGGGAGCTGAGAAGCCGATGAACAACATAGAAGGAGGAAATTCCAGCGGAAGTGAGCATGAGACTGAGAACGAAGCTTTGAGCACTACGATGCCCATCAACCTGGTCCTCCGGATGAGGTATGTGTACAGCTGGGCTAGCCCGAACATGTCATTGAGCAGTAGAGAGTATTTAGTTTGAAAAATTACATCTATGATATGATATTTTGTCAGGCGTGTTTTAGATTGTGTGGGGGATTTCAATAGGCTAGATCTATTATTACGATGAGAAGAGTGGTTATTCTCAATTTTCGATGGGCTTGTCATGAGTGGTGGAATTTTTGATAATAATGTTGGAGCTATTTTGAAACATGGTAAAAATAAAAGATTTGAATGATTATAAAAAACATTGTTTTACTCCTCTTCTTAAGGCTAATTATATTTAAATTCTGAAGCTTTACCTAGTTTCACTGCAATTTTTCAAGTCTGTTTGGAATAGTTAGATGTCTTAGAAATCCTCCACCAACACCTAGACCTCACCATTACCCAAAGAATATTAGCAACCATTATTGATAAAGACTTTAAAATCACTCTTTTTCTGAATGAGATTATTATTAAGTTTGTAATTAACAATATTAATCATGTAGGTAATTCTTGGTGCAAAATATCAGTCATCCACAGTTTTACTTTATACTTTTTATTTTTTAGTTTACTTTTTAATCCAAAGACTTTATCAGAGTTTAAGTAACTAACTTGAATAGTTGATAGAAGTTACGTTTCTTCTAATTTTTCCAGACATCCTGAATCCTATGTTCCCTTCCTTATTGATGACATAAAGTAAGTTTGCTTCTTTAGCACGTAGCTAACTGTACATACCGTAGCATTAAATTTAAATGTAAATACTGTGAAATATCTTATTATGACACACTGAAACAAGTTGATTTAACTTAAGTTGGTTTTTTAGTAAAATAGAAAAATGTATACATAAAATGTGGGGAGAAACATTTTTTGTCACAGCTAACTAAAACTGCCATTCAAAATACATTTCTTTTATCATCGGACCCAAACTTTTAGTTGTATTTTAATATGAGTTCACAAATATAATGCTTATATAACATGGTCGAATTTTGTCACTTCCAACTCATTTTGCTCTGCTTCTACACCAATCACTAACCTTGTAGATCAATTAATTTTAAAGAGCACATTTTATTCACTAGTATATTTTTAGGAACTCGCGACGAGAATTAAACGACATCAGGTTCGAGTTCTTGATGGGAAAAGATAGTGCAGAAGGCATTGCAACGGAGCTCGTGGGCGCAGGGTTGGTTGACGGGAGAGACATGGTCGTCATTGCTGCCAACCTACAGAAGCTGATTGACAGCAACGGCCAGCAACGACAAGTTACGTTTCCCTTGGTGAGTTTGGAATTATAAAATTGTTAACCATATTTAATTTTCACCTTTATTTTCATTTTAACACTACTCGAAAATTATATATTAACTACGTCCTATGTTACAGAACTCAGGGATTGCAGCCAATGAAGTTCCTGATGACAAGGCGTTGATCGGCTTTGCACAAATCTCATTGACGGACTAGCGTTCGCCCTCGCCTCGGCGCGAGAAGAGAGACACTTCACCTCGCCGATAACGGGTAGATATCGGACAATCAGGTCGGTAGCGGGTCGTGAGTCGCTTCTAGCCCCGTCAATTACTCCCAGTGACAGACAATTGCTTCAACAAAGTAAACAGCCCTCAGATTATTCCGTTAGGCATATTTCAAAGGTTTGGTCTTTTAAATCATTCTGTATTTATATTTCTTAACCTTGAGTTTGTACAGATAATTTTAACCATTTGTTAGCAAAGATTAAATTTTATCTAAGTGTTATTATTCTTCAAACTCTTTGTTTAAAGGTAATGTAAATCAGTGAAAGTGTCTTTCTATATTTGTGAAATAGTTTAAAAAGCCTTGTAAACATAGGTAATATATCCTGTATACTGTAGTATTTATTTGATGATGTTTATTTTAATAATATTTAGAACTTGGAAAATTAATAATATTTTCATTCTTTTTCAACGTAATTGGTTATTAGTCATGTATGGGTAAAAGAGTTTTTGTTACTTCATTTGTTTGTCAAAAAATTCTACCAAAAACCTTAATGAACATCGAGAATATTTTCCAATGTACTTCAATTACATCAAAAGATAAATTTTTTGTATCTGTACTTGCAAATGTATGCATGTATATTGTCTGTAACAATAGAAAATTCAAGGTGGAATATCTTTTATAAGAGCGACTCCAAAACAAGTATTAAGAGCCTCACAAACGTCTGTAGTCAAGTCATGAAGCATCGAAGACAATAATATTTAAAGCAAAAATAGAAGTGTGTACAATACAGTTTATTTATTGTTATATTGTTATTGTTTAAATCTTGTGGTGCTTTTAGTTAAGTGATTTGAATTTAGTTGGTTTGTGCCAGAAATGCATACATACCACAGTTTGTAGACTAAGTGTTATTTTGTTTTTGTTGTATTTTTTTTCTATTCGGTTGTTTGTTTTCATCAGTTTGTAGTAGCTTGCTCGGACGGGAAGGGACCTGCCTAGTGGACAGACTCTATAGCTTAGCCACAAAACATTGTTGTTTAGAATCCTTGCAAATATTCTAAATGGCCATCGATGATCTGAACTCTATCTGGGTTCAGATTTAGCTTTCCTGCCTGTTGACTGGTTAATATATAATATTAGAAGCTAAGGTATCATGTGATTTAGATCATAGAAATATAATCTTCTCTTTACGTATCAAGTAGAGTAAAAATAAAACTTATTAAAGCTTTTGAGCCAGATATTGCAAACTAATTTCTAATGAAAATTAAAAAAATGATTTTGCAACATTTTTGCATTGAATTTGTAAATTATATTTATTTATTACATGTAATTGTTTTGCATTTTCAGTCTTTAAAATATCATTGCCAATCAGCATAGGAGTATGATTTTCAATTTACCAGATATTTTTAATTTACAATTCAAATTTTTGATTACATTTTTGTGTCAGTCTTCTTTATTTGCCATCTGCTTGATTATAATCATGAATATTGCCAATTTCAATACAAAATGTATTGAGTTTTTACACATTACAAGAATTTATTAGCAGCCTCCTCTATTACTAGGCCGCGGCATTGGTGTGTGGCAACGTTGCAACGGCATCCCTATTGCCATGGTAATAGCAGAAATATCAAAAGTGTAAAAATTGCCTACATGATCCATTATACATTACAGCAACAGTGGTTTTGGTTTGACGGGACATCGGTGTAGCCACTTTTGCCTCACCGTAGCCTTGTATTAGAAGAGGTAGAAGAGATATGTCTCTTTATTTTAATCTTTTGTTCAGAAGATTTTGTATCCTATTTTGTAATTTTAACTAATAATAATCCGTCATTCAACCTCAGTTTCATTACCTAACTGGGATTGTTGTATTATAATCTGATAACAACAATGTTTCCATTGGAATCTGATTGGTTTCATAACATTTTCTACTGAATGTTAACTGGATGCAGTCAATTCTATGTAGCGTATTATTGTATATAAGCCCTTATGTACATTTAAAATCAAAATCCACATTCCACGCAGTGGTTTCCCCTCCGTTCCCAATAGTTAGTTTCATCTCATATCCCCGTATTCACTATGTATTCGTATACAAAACTAGAAATTAATTATTTACTTTGTTAATTGCCAATGTACTTAAAAATTAAATTTGTTTGAAAACGCTTTGTCTTTGGTCTACACCTGGAACTTTCTGTTGTTTGATTTTGTTAGGTACACCACAAAGTGTTTTATCAGTTTTTATTTTATTTCTGCCCAATTAACTCGATAAGTCCCTTACGTCGACAAATTGGATGGGAATAAATACATTTTTCAATTCAACGACATCTCAAATTTCCATAATATGGAAAACACAACACAACATTGGTTCATCTTCAGACAAAGAAGCAGGTTGAATTGATCTCTTGCTAAAGGTGTTCTAGAAGGAGGTTAGGCATGCAGCTCCTTTATAGGATGGTTTTCTTTTAGTGTTTCCTTATCGATTTTATTAGGGTGTAAGGCTAATTCGTTTGGTGTTGTGAAATGTGGTGATTGTATAATGTTTTGCTACAAAGATAAACCAAACTCATTATTTTTAATTATGTGTATTTTTCAATGGAAATACATTGAAGTAAGTGATGTGTGTTATTTCAATATGATTAAAAAAACAGATCATACACTTTACAAGGGCTGTCAATAAATTAAGCCATCTGAACCAAATCTGACGGTTAAAATCTGAGACACACATCGTGTTCACTACTGTTTTAACCGAATCTGAGACCGACATTGGGTTCACTACTGTTATAACTGGTTTCCTCACCTATGCGAAGATTACTCATCAAAGTAGCCCAAAATGGTTTGAAGGAAAATCTTCATTCCCGTCAAGTATAAATCATGTTCTGTGATAAGTTTTCTGTGCTTTAACTTAAAAGTGAACTCCAGTTTCCAGTAGACGGATATGAATGGAGTAAAATGCTTGGAGGTAGAAAATGCACATGAAGCATGATTGGAGTTAAGATGGAATCAAGCATTTGTTCCAGCTTTTTAACATACTTTTACCAACAAAATAATTAATCATTAATGCCAAACTTGAAGAGGTACAAGTCTATGTGGATTATATTATATTAATCAAATCCGAGGGACCCTCTTCCTTTATTTATTCCTCCTATTCTTTATTTTTCAATCTTTATTTCAGGGTTTTGATAAAAACCTGAACTTTATCCCATCTTTATAGTAATAGTGTATAATTTTAATTTAGTGAAGGATAATCGAGAAACCAAGAATAACATTGATAATTCCATCACAAAAAAAACATACCAGAATGAATCTGCGATAGCTGCTGGTATGGATTTTATTGAATCAATAATTGACTCAATTGACAGAAATGAGAAGGTAATTGGATTTTTTCTTGACTTTTCAAAGGCATTTGACTCTGTTTCACATAAGAAATTGCTAGAAATTCTTCATAGTTTAAATATTAATAATAAAGAGCTTAAGTGGTTCAGTTCATATTTGCAAGGAAGGCAACAATGTGTCCAAATACAGTATAATTTCTGCCATCCAAATAGTTAATACCCTTACACTCAAAATGTTTACTCTGAATACAATAATATTAAATATGGTGTCCCCAAGGATCTATTTTGGGACCTCTTTTATTTATTTGTTATATACTAGGGAGGGGGTTCCCACTAGCTATGATGGAGGAGGTTCAGTGTGTCTTTATGCTGATGACACCAACATCACAAAGACAGGCAATTCTCAAGAAGAAGTCGAACTGAAATATTTTCTAAATATTTCATCAGTTAATGTTCAGTCAAGTTGTCTTTGTACTTTTGTATCAGTTTTATATGTCATTGTTTTTAACAGTCTATCCTGTTGTTTCCATCACATGACCATTTTATGTTAATTCCCATTGTTGCATGTTTCAACATCCCCCTATGGCTTTTATATGTACTTCAAATGATCTGAAATGTTTGTACTGTAATGAAGATCACAAAATATACAGGTGCCCTGTATTTCAGAATAAAACCGCTCAGGGGCTCAGGAAAGGTTTAAAGTTATACACGACTTTAAACGCTGTACAAATTGCCTCGGTAATCACTTTGCTGAAAGCTACAAGTCTACTAGTACTTGTAAGATTTGTTTCAAAACTCATCATACACTCCTACATTTTTTGAAGCCTACTAAGCCTGATAACAGACAAAAAGCCTCCAACCCAGAACAAAAAGAAACCATCATGAACTCAAAACTGTTAACTCCTCTTTTCTCCTTCGAAACTGACAGCTGTAACTCCTGGCCATTTTCTTATCAACTCTTCTCTGACATCTGTTCCTGACCCAATAAAGACCTTACCTCTTATTGATAATTTACATTAAGACTTCACCCAAAGCCTCTATGCTGCCGTTGGAGTCTAGAACATTAGAAGGCCCCTCAACGGCAGCGTTGTATCAAACGGAACCTCAAGAAAGAAAACCTCGATGTGTGTAGACCCTGTTTTCTCCAACACACCAGCTCCTCAAATTTACAGATCAGCTAATCTTCATTCAAGATCATCAGTCAGAGTGTTTTCATACCACTAAACGGTGTTTAAAACAATTTTACACCCCTCTCTGGTCAATTCTCAAAAATTGTATATTTTTCAATTTCTCTTCTGTTGAACCCTGTTGGTTCAAAAGGGGGCGGTATCACAGAAATCACATCACAGGTGTGAGATTTCTGTACCAAACGATGTATTTCAATTTCTACATCATTATTAATATACTAAAAATTTAAATAAAAAAAAATATTTGTTATGGGGTTTATACAATAAACGATTCAAAATTAGCTGTCATCATACATGCAAACAAAAAATTAATAGTGCTGCACCCTGTTGGTAAGCCTTGTAAATTTGTAATGCTATTGAACATCATAGAACCAACTTGTTTAACTGAAACAGCTGTAAAGATTCATTAATTCCTTTTCAATATGAATACTCATAAGGTTAACATGGGAAACTCCAGAGCCACTGGGGTGGAGCCACAACACTATAAACATTTATATACAATTGTTTCTAGAGTTAGAAAAGATAACAAAGTAGTTGATGCATTATCTTGCGTATAACTTGTCTTTTTTTTTAGATAAAACTCGAGGCCTCTTTTAAACTTGTGTTCGCCAGTCCACATAGGCATCGGGTCTGTGCTTGGAACGTATCACTTGTCCATCCTCAAGTAGAAGTTATTATCTTGATAAATTGAAAAGGAATACTCCATTTCAAATTTGTATTCTCTGCAGAAACTGTTCATACTTTTATTGAACTGCACGTTTTGAATAGCGGCTTTGGCTTATGATCATTGGGACAGGTTCCAGTTTTATGTTTTTAGAATAATTGAAATATATTCAATAAAATTGCATGACAAATCCAAAAGTGCTTGGATTGTTAAAATAGCCTAGGTTAGTAAAAACCTAAGATATTTCAATATTTGTAAAGCATGGATTTTATGATGTTTTAATTTGTCCCTAATAATGTGTTGCTTGTTCAGTACTGGATACTGGTGAAGTACAGTGTAATCGTTATCAACGATTGTTTATTGGGCCGGAACTCTGGTCTTGAGGTCTTGTTACCATCTTAAGTCGACCATTTGTTGTTGGATTGGATAGTATCTTTATTTATACACAATAATTACATACCTCCGTCAAATAGTAAAACGGTGGATCATTGGACGATGTATTTGACGGCAAAACCTATTGTATTCCTAATAAATTTGTCCAGGGGCCAGAAACATGAATTATATCCCAATTCTTATATATATCCAACTTATCAAAGTCCAGAAACTGTCTCGCTGGGAATCACCAGCGACCTTCAGATTTGAAGGCATAAACTATAACCACTTGGCTAACCGACTAATAAAGTATTGTTACTTTCAGTGTTTCAGTTAGTTTTCTTTTCTACCAGCCGCAATTCCATCTCGCGCTCTGACCCCTTGCCCCAAAATAGAAACCGTTAAAAACCCGATCGGTTTTTGCCAGTTGTGCCAATCCAGTGAAACCAAATCCGAATGAATCGTCCGGTTCAGCATTGCCGCCTCCACCTTGCCGTTGCTACTTAACCCTCGGACAAACACCAAAACAGGTCCAGATTTTGAACTTAACGGAAACGAATGGCTACAAAGGGACGTCGTAGGTGGGGGGGGGGGGGGGTGCCCCAGGTATAGAAACCAGTTTCTCCCCGCTCTTTCCATGATTGATGCTGCACCACACAATTATCTTCCACCTTTGTGCTGGAGTGCGTCGTCTTTTTGCTTTTCCTAGCGTTGCGTCTTTGGCCGCAAGCGGTCAGTACACTCATCTGCCTCTGGGTCGGCTTTGTCTATGGCGTCTGAATTGTATTGTATACAGAGACTATATAAAGCACCATAAATCTTTGTAAATGAATAGCGCGTTTCTAACTATGTTTTACATGCAATAGTGCGAGTTAAAAGATAATAAATGCAAAATCCTTGGATGAATATAAATTATTTTGTTGGTTTATGTAAAAAAAACTATCTAGATACTGGGTTATATAATTCCAAATTGCGTCATAGACGTGACATTTACAAAAACACGTATTGGGAAACACGCAATTAGTAAATGCTCACGAATTGCTGAACCTGACGAAGCTACAGAAATGGAGCCTTTTCATGCTACAGATTAATTGTGCACCATTTTAGCCGTTTTAGCCATATACAGAAATCATTGTCATGGCGAATTTGTCCATCAAAGTTCAGATATTGGTTTCAGTTGTATTGGCACGAGAATAACAAATAATTAATTTTAGTAAAAACCAACCACTTTTTGTTGATCTGATATGTTGTAGGGCATAATTTAATTTGTAAGAGCTATTTTGTGTGTGAGCAGGTGGTAGCACTGATTGGATAGGTCAGGTCCAGGTATACCTGCATCCCTTTCTTCGATTCTCAGTTCCACAATAATACTGTGCCCCCACTCCCACTCTCTCCACCAATCAGTCGGTGAGATCTGTCCAACCAAACTTCCTTTCATTTATACCCAAAGAAAAGGAACTTCAATCCAACTTAAAGATCGAGCCCGCATATAATGTATAATAACACATTACACCACGGTAATCTTTAGTCACAATGTAGTAGGTACAGTATTAACTGAAAGTTTGAAAAAATATTAAATCCTTATGTAAGATTGGTTCGAAAACATT